TGTGTGTGTGTGTGTGTGTGTGTGTGTGTGTGTGTGTGTGTGTGTGTCATAAAGGGTCAGTAGGACAAAAGCAGGATGAGGGGTTGGGGTGGGGGTGGGGGTGGTGGAGGGTGAGGCGTTGACAACAGGTGGTGTGAGGAAGAGCTTTAACCACCTCCCCCCTCTAACGACAGTGCAGCACAGGGGCCACGGGGGCCGTGGAGAACAATAAAGGCCCCTTGCTCCAACCGTTGGGTCCAATCATCTCACCCCCCCATTATCTCTCAGGCGCTGCACTGCCAGACTCACCAGTTCCTCTGTGCTAAATGAATGAATGTGTATTAATATTTCTGTGCTCAAACAAGTACGTAGAGCAACATTTTAAGTCAAGTGAACTATGGATGCACGATGCATTTCAAAAGCGACAGTTATTACCCCTACGAATTTATTGTTCAACATGAACCCATTTTCATATTTTATGGACAATAAAACTGAAAGAATGGAAACAATGACTATTTTTTTATCGACTCCATGAATATTTAATGTGTTTTTGTATGCTGTTTTTTCTGAAGTATCTTGATTAAAACTGTAATTAATGGGGAGTCATTAGTCATGGTCTTACAGAATGCAAATGACCCCGTTAGGGCTCACTGAGGCCAACAATAGCCCTCTGGCAAAACTACACAAGGGGCTGAGTGGTTGTGGAGTGTTGCCTCAGGGTACAGATTATTAAGAGGAAGTCCAGTTGGAAACCTTATCAGATGCAAAGACAATGTGCAGCAGTTTATTTGGCTTTTGGGCAGCGTTGGAACTGAAAATGATCACATCAGCGCTTATTTGCGCAGGAGCAAAAGTGGAACCAGGATAAACCTTTTTCCCAGACTGCTTTAAATTTTTGAGCCAGAGCCCTCTGCAACAGCACCCCCGCTGTACCAATGTAGCGTCCTCATTGAAATTAATGAGGAGCCTGTGTTTTTTAATGTATTGCTAATGTCGGCCTGAATGAGCCCGTAGGGGCATCATGATGAAAGGCAGCCAGTAAGGCATCGGTAGAGAAAGTAGAACAAAAGGAACAGTAGTGTGAGGAGATGCAACATGGAAATAGACTGAACTAACACAAATAACACACCACAGCAGAGACAAATGGCAGATGGTTGAGCATGGGCAGCGGGGGGGGCTCGAAAGAAATTCACCCAGAAGCAGGATACATCTGGGGAGTTTCAGGCGGCATAATGATGGACAGGCCAACACAATCAATACGAGGTTCAAACAAATCAGTCAAACGCAACATGAAGGCAGCTGAGGGAGAAGGAGCTGGTGGTCAGTTGTTACCGAGCAGGACAATCAGAATAAGAGTTAAATCACCAAAATGGAACCTTCTAAGAATCACAATGGTCTTTACCCAACGTGATGTTGTCTTTGCACAGCAAGTTGTAGGTATTGAACCAATCAGTGGAGTTATTGGGAAAATTATTCCGTTTATTGAATCACAGATTGGTGTTATTTATGAGCTCCATTCAAGGACAGCTCAGTGTACAGTAGCTGCAGGACGTTTGGCTGCATGTAGGTGTGGGACAATCCAGTGTAATTATTTGTGTCCACTTATTCTGGCAATTGGAAAACTTCATTAGACAACCAATTCCAATTGGTGGGACTCATTCTGACTGATGACTAATTCTAGGTTTTGCCAGCTTATATTAATTATTGGACAATTTATTCTGGTGGTTGGATGAGTCATTCTAAATTAGAAATTATATATTGGTAATTTGTCAATTAATTGTAGTCGCATCAGGCTAACTCACTCCAGGAACTGACTAGTCAAACCAGAAAATTGGACATGCTCTCAATGGTGTTGCCTTCTAACATGGCCGCCCTCGTGCACACACTGTGGTGTACGGCTTCATTTTATGAAGGATATGGTTTCTATCAACAGACATTTGTTTTCATGCCATTATGTTTTGGGTATTTATACCTTCCTTTGATTGTGATAGTGGGGAGAGTCAGGAAACGTGGGGAAAGCAAGTAGCAAGAATCTTGCATCTGCGCCCATGTGGTAGCCCAACCATCGGGTCGCCGCATCGAGAGACATTTTAAGCAATATTTTCAACTCACTTCAACTCTGATGCAGCATCTCGTAAGCACTTAGACTGAATAGACTGAAAATATCAGTCTATTCCAAATCACTGGTGGTGAATGTTAAATTAGAATTATGTAAATCGGGATGGTTCCCTTTCTGCATATGAATAAGGCTTATGCTCTTCCCTTGTATGTAGTGGTCTGCAGTTTGCTACAATCATGTCAAGAGCATCTTCCTGAGCAGTGACAGCATGTTTAACACTAGAGATTGCTTAATCTTTATCGTCCTTGTTGGATGTGCTTTCAGTATATACCTCAATGTATCTTTGTCGTCTCACCTTTCCAATTTCCTGACTGTTTCAAATGCATTCTCATACCTAGAACTATCCTTTGGAACTTTACTATCGACAGAAGCATTCACCCTTGAGTAGTTGGTATGGCCCAAGTAATTCTGGTCGCCAGCTCTTTGTGCTGTAAAAGTTATTCCAGGGGGATTTACGTATATTTGACCTGTCTGCAAATAGTAAATAGGAGGGCAAACAGCTGTGGAAAATGCTTATTGATTTCCACTCACGTGTATTTGTTCAAGATTAATTTCTCCTTAAGACACGCCCCTGACTCTGAGTTATAAAAGGTCAGCGTATGGGGGCTTAAGTCATTCAAGTGGAGCTAAATGGATTTCTGCTCTAAGATCCATCTGTTTTTGGAGTTTGTTGACAGGGTGAAGATTGGAACTGTTGCTCTTCCCTACCCCCAGTCGTACCACCTCCTCTTCCACCCCCCCTTCTTTTCAGTGCAGGGGTATGACCAGGCACGGCACCCCAGCAGAGTAAAGTGTGCTGGGCACGCGGCAGCATACAAGACCTGGCCATCTGCTGCAGCTATGTGAACACATCCGTGATCGTTTGACAGGGAGAAGTGCGGCATTGGTCAGGCTTGGGCCATAAGTTGCGTTAGCAGACAGTGACAGCTGAGGGGGGGGGTCGTCATCTGACACGAGCAGACTGGTTCTCCTCCAACAGGAAGACACTGATGTCAGACAGACGACTCACCTTCTTCACCTCTCAGGCACCTCACCGGCAGGGAAAGTGGACAGTGTCTGCAAACATGCAGCAAATGACAGTGTGTGTGTGTGTGTGTGCAAACAGCAAGAGACGCTGCTGAAGAAATTGACAGGACTAACAAGTTGGTGAGACAGCATAGAGAACTGCTCACATACTTACAAACAACCATCAGGGTTCTCCTGCTCTGTATCTGGCTGTTTTTCCACCAATATAAGAACAAACTGTGATCAACTCTGCATCATACTGTTGTATGTGATCCTACAGTGGAGGGCTGCAGGAAACCTAGAAATGAGTCAGCATTTTGGTACTTCAGGTTCCCTCGTCTGCAAAGTCGATGGGTTTTGGAATGTGTTTTTCTCTACGACTTAAAATCCGTCAGTTAATACCCCACTTGTGAATCTGGTATACAAATCACAGAATGAGACAGGATTTTACTCGTGTATTTCTCTCTACAGCGTTGTTACAAAGTATTGTACAGGAAACGGGCACTACTCTCCTTGACATTATGTCGCGGCACCTTTTTGTTTGACAGTGCTTCCTTGAGCTGAATGAGGGGGCAGTGCTTTATGACTGGTGCTATAGTCGTTCTGAACAACGCCCAAATCACCCTGTTAAAGTTTCACCTCACATTGTATGAGTGGAATTCTTACCACCATTCCACTGCAGTGGTCAATAATGAATGGGTTGCGCTTGAGTGTTGTGGGTGGTGGACCCATTGTCTTTCGGCGCCTCCCCGTTCTCCTCGAGGTCGAGTTAAAGAGTGTCTCTGGTTTTCCAGATGGGTGAACTACAGTAGCCTTGATGGGCCGTAGGGTCGGCTGAGGGCAGATCGGGGGGCAGGCAGGTTGGGGGGGGTTAAAGGAGGAGGGGGGCAATTTGCCTTACAATGGGCTCAGCAATTCTCAGTGACCCTTTTAGCCTGCCATAGGCTGCACGATGTCGGCCATTACTAGATTAAAGTAATCCTCTTTTCAGGGCCAGACAATTGCTTTATTAGCTGACCACACACAGGAGCCCGACCACCTCGGTCATAGTATTGTTGTCGGGGAGCCCTCGGGGTCCCGGGGTGGGTGTTATTGGGTAGAAGGGGGAGTTTGTCACTGTTGTTGCGCTCTCCTTAGCAATGCCATGCATACGTTACTTCTCCTTGTTTAACCCTACGCACCAGCCATTTTTGTCTGTGAGGTTGTTTATTTTCATGGTGCGACACACACACACTTACAAATGTCCACGCGGCCCCCTCCACACCCAATATTCCCACATATTCGACATATTGCCTGAATTACGATCAGATTAAGTGCGGGTATGGATATGCATGTTTGCAAATCCCCCTCCTCTTCCTCCATGCGGTCCAGATTTTTTTTTTCTCTGAAGCTCTCCCCTGGCTTGTTTTTGCCAACAAAAAATAAATCCCATCAAAATGCTGTTTCATCTCCTCTTTTCCTGAGTTTCTAAAGGCATGGTGCATTTCTAACTGGGCAAAAGAGATCCTTTCAAAATCCATTCCAAAATGTGTGTTTTTGCTGGCAGATTGTTCTTTGTCAAAAGGGCATAAGTTGTTTTTTACGAGCCTGTCAATCAGGCGCGTACGGCTTCACCTGATCATTTATTCAGCTATACGAGGAGCGGGGAGCCACTCGAGCTGAATTAAGTATTGTCAAACAGTGTGAATATTTCATGAATAACCGGGGTAATTTGAAGAGATGTGTCGTGGTTCTATCTTTACATGGTAGTGTTCATGAGAGAGGCATACATTCGCTCTGGTAACAGAGAGTTTTCTGAGCTTCGGGATGCATCTCTGTTCGTTCCCTGAAGGATAAATGCAAGCCTGAGTTTAAGAGGAGGTTCACGCAGGGCAAGTTCACAACATCTGCATCTGGGAATGTATGATATCAATCTAGGAATAAGCTTCAGTTCCTTTCTTTTATCATCAACGTTTGGACTGAACTCCTCCACCTTAAGCCAGTAAATACACAGCTTCATTAAGTTGATGTATTGGACATGGACTGAACATGTATCAACCCATTCACCTTGACTGGACATCTTTCCCCTGTAGAGGTTGCGAGAATTCACTGTTCTTCATCAGTTCCCATTAAGAGACTAAAGAGAGGGAGCAATAAATCGTAAACACGGCTTTTTGATGATGTGATATTATTGATCCACGCCAGGAAATAGTTTTTTTTTCCCCTCTCTCCTCGCTGCAGGAGGTCAGAAGGCGGGGTCAGCCGGAGTAGGAAACACATTATTGCATTGCCCCGAGGACGCTTGAGCAGGATGCTTGTGGCACTAACCTGGCCTCTCTGCTTGAAGGACGTCTCTCTCACCACCAGTCTGCCCTGTGAGATCTTTTTACTTTCTTGGAGGAAAACCCCAAGTGTTCCTTTAATTCCCAGAGAATTACAGAGTCCATACTCTGGTGACTTTGGTCTGCAGGTTGTCAGGGGTCGGGGGGAGTCATGTGTATCCCATCAGGAATTGCAGAGATGAAACACAGAGATGAAAAAATTGGCAGAAAAAACACACACACACACGGTGGATTAACCTCAAGGTTGCCGGGTGGGTGAGCACAGCAACCGGCTCACAATTGGGATGGAAACCTGCCGCTGAGCCCCAGGTAGGTGAACACTCCCCATGCCGCGAGGTCGGAAGGATTTCCATGCAAATTGTTTGTGTGAGAGTTGGTGTGTGTGTATGAGTGGACACTTGTTTACAGTAGAGCGGTTCTATTTGTGCCTGTGCACATACCTTCTGTAGTATCAGGCTAATGGGAGGAGCTGGGTAGCGGCTTCGGTGTGAGAAGATTAGTAGTATTTTTATAAGGGCTCCCTCTTGACTTGAAATATGGCTGTTTCAGTCCAATAGGCTTGGCATGCCTCCGATCGTTCCGCTCTCTCTCTTTGTGTGCATGTGTGACGGGGGAAGGAAAGGAGAAGGGTTAAGATCCAGCAGGATGGATGGGCCTTTAAAACCTCCCCACACACATACTGTATGCACAAAGTACAGCGTGAGGCTCGTTTAATCATTTCAAAAGTACCAATGATATTTCATCTTTCATTTTCTTTTACTTTATTAGTGTCTTGACTGAAATACCTGGACGAACCAGATGAACCTGCACACAGTACTTAATAGGTTGACCAAACTGTAACTTTTTACTGGAGTAGCTTCAGTTTCCCAAAGCTCAAGACAACGTCCTCAAATGTCTTGTATTGTCCACAACTCAAAGTGAATCAGTTTACTGTCTTAGAGGAGTTAAGAAACCAGAAAATATTTACATTAAAGATATTTGATCATTTTACTAATAAATTATCCAAATCGATTAATCTTTGCACACAAGTTTTCTTTTTATATATATATGCAGCCAAAGTAATCAAATATTTTCATCTGCAGAAAATCTTGGGTGCTGCCCAGAATCGTTTTTATTGAACAATTCTCCAGGACGTGAGCCAAATATTCCTCCAATGTAGGCAGTAATGTGCCCTGTGGGTAGCTGGGTGTATGCTCGGGGCAGAGAGGAATAGGAGTGCAGCTGTATACAGTTAGTGTATACAGTATATGGTGTCCAGTTGGGTGTTGGATTTCAAGCATCTCTGCAAAACTAGTCTATGAAAGTAATCCGTGACTTTTCAGAAAGATGAAACATTAGCACTCTTTCAGTCCAGCGATACGGTTGTTGCTACTGTACGCTGCAGCAGATATGACTTATTTTAGGCAAAGGTGAAGTCATGAATTGAAACATCCCTCAACTCATCTTCATCAGTCAGTCCTGGTCTCCTCTCCCTTTCTGGAGGCAGCACAGTGGCATCTGTGTCTGTATCACGTATACCTTGCGAGACTCCTCAGCTCCCAGTCCTTTCTATGACTTACATAACATTCACCGCGTGCACTGGTTAGCATGCTCACCCGTATGAAGCATGAGCCAGCTTAAACATATAATCTTATTGTCACATGATTGCAGCTCCGTGCTAACAGGGCGCCCGCAGGTCGGCCTGATCGTCCTCAGCCTCAGTTCTCAAGCTCCTGTTGTGGGCCATGTGCTTCATTATAACACACACACACACACACACACAGACACACAGAACAACCCCCCCATGAGCTTCCCTTCAGTGTCTGTGTGGCTGATAATGAGAGCCTCCTGTGCTGTCCCACCACTACATGTGGGGCCCACGGTCATATTGGCTGCAGACTACACCACTGCCAAGTATTAGCCCCTCCCACCACCACCAACCGCTCCTCATCCACCGCTACACCCCCCCTTCCAACACGTCTGGGTGTGACAAGGCACTGTGGTGGGTCTCGGCCCGGGCGTTTATAAGCGCTTAAAAGCCATGAAACGTCACACCTTGACTGATAACCTCATCTATTTTTTTCCCTCAGCAGTGGCTGGGGGGCTGGGTGGGTGATGGCGGCTCCTCATATATTATCACCTAATTCAATTTGGGGCAGTATTTTACATAACGTGGCTACGGCGATAACATATAAACAGTATCGGAACATGACATGAATATGAATTGCACGCCGTTGTCTTGCTGATTGCGTTGTAAGAAGAGGTTTATATATGCCAATAACGGGTTCATAATCTGCTTCTAATGCATCGCGGTGACTTGTGGGTTTCCTTCCAGTGTTATCTGAGTGCTGTGGCTAGTAATTGGTTTTCCTGAGGCTTCCACGTAATGTTAATTTGCACTGCAGAGATTTTCTATCAACGTCTGGCCAAGACAAATTTGGTAAATATTGCTCTATAAAACTGATAGAGAACTGATTTGTTTTGATGTTAAGGCCTGATCTCTTTACTAATAATCACAGAAAAAATGAGATTTCCTCAGCATTCATCTCAACCTGTAGGGTCTCATTCATGGAAATAACTTTTCATGCTCCTGTCATCGTGACCGGTGGGACCAGCTGCTTCTCAACCATCAGCCCAGGTTTGGTGGCAGCATGGGTGGGAGGGCTCTGGGAGAGGGTGCCGTGGGTTTGGGTGGGTGGATGGGTGGGGTCAGGGCAGCTTTTGTGGCTGTTAAACGGACTCAGCTGACGGGACTAAATAGCAGTGACGGCGGCCTAAATGGCCACACTGAGGGACACGCTGAGGGACAAAGGAAAATGGAGGGAGTAAATTTGAAGGGAGAAATGCGTCAGACATTGATGAACAGGGTGTGCGTGTGTGCGTGCGTGCGTGCGTGCGTGCGTGCACCCGGTGGTGGTGGAGGTGACCCCCCTGGACTTGTGGAGGGAGTAATTGAAATGCCCTGTCGATGTGATTCCTATTCATCTGGCTTTAGTGCCGGCTCAATCTCGCCGTCGGCCACAGGAGCATTTCCAGAGAGCTAAACCATGTTGGGTCATTTACTCAAGGCCATACAGTACTCTGAGAGCCAAATGACAGCGCCATGAGAAAATAAATGAAATGGAATTACACTTTAAACCAAGTTGGGTTTTTTCAGAAGGGAGGACATTACAGATCAGCTGTCAGAAAATGTTGATAATTAAATGGTAAGGGCTTCTTGACAGTGTGCGTGTGTGTGTGTGTCAGTACACTGCAGGGGGGGTTCCAATCTCCAGTCAGCCTGTATATTGGACTGAGCTGGTGATAATATTGGATTCAGACAGTGTTTTGCTGTATTTGCTGCTACAGCTGCCGTGCAGCATATCTGTGCCGGTGTCTGTGTTTGTATTGGGGGGGTCGAGGAGGCGGTGGGCGCTTAAAGGCAGCAAGGACATCTGTCTCCAACTGTGAGACCTCCGCCCCTCCCTCCACCCTCTCCAGACCCTCCCGTCACCACAACACACACACAATATCCTGTGCGGGGCCGTTTCATCATGGTGTAATGGTTGATAGGGATCGGAGGGGGTCCACTCTGGTAAATGAGAGTGGCTGATGGAAGGTGGTTTCTGACGGGGCCCCTTGTCGGCCCGAGGGCTCGGACAGATATTGCCTTGGGGACCAGGCTTCACTTATAGAGAGGACAGAGAAGACGTTCATGCGTGCGCCTAAGCAGCCTTGTGAAAGAGATAAGAATGATGCATGTACTCCGGCAAAGGGCTGAAACCTCACCGTGTGTTTGGCGTTGCGTTCACACCGAAGCAGATTGCTCCTTGTCGGGGACAAGATGGGAGCTGACGGATGGACGGAAGACGACGTCAGTCCCCCACAACAGAGCTTGAACCAGAGGACGCCTCTCTCGACTCTCCTCCCTTCATCCGTCGCTTTGCTCTGCTTGCCAAGGGACTATCCATCATTCTCTCCCTGCCATCTGAATATTTATTCTTGAGGGGGTGCTGACACACACACACACACACAGTCCTTGGAACATTAACGACAGCGATAAAGCCATTTAATTAAAAGTGAGCCTGAGCTCGCCCCAAAGGTGTTTTTTATGTCCAATTAAATGCTCAAATGATGCCCTGATATACAGCAGGGTCGTGCTACTTTGCTCATGTGGTAAATCACAAGTCCAGTGGTCACAGATAAATATCATTTAACAATAACAATGCTTTTTTTGGTGTAGAATGGTGTTTTTTTTTTTTTTTGTAATGATTCAGTGTAATTTGTAATTCACACATCCATCATTGTGTGTCACAAGCTGATAAATACTGCGTGGAGATGGGTGTCATTTGTTTTCTTGTGACTAAGGCGCTTGTCATTGTGTAAAGATACAGTCTGACAGCAGTCTGTCGCAGACAGTGAAGCTAAACACACAGATCTGATTTGCATTATTAGATGTGGTTTTTCTAGGTGTTTGGAGTAGATGATGAAAGCTTCTCTCATGATACACCTGACTTCATATCGTGACATAGATTTGTAGAAATTATCAAGAAATGATTAACGCTGCGACTACCAATTGTTTTCTCATTGTATTGCTATAAAATGTCAAGAAACGGTGAAAATGCCTCTTAAAATTAAAAACCCGACAGTTCAAAACCCAAAGAGATTCAGTTCAATCTCATGTGCAGCAAAAAAACCAAAATCATCACATTTGAGAAGCTGGAGTGTTTCAGCCTTTTTGCAAAATAGTTTCTGATTAATTTTCTTTTTGATTGACTAATCTATTCCATTGATCCATTGTTGCACCTCCTGAAACAATGAATAGATAAAGTGAACAAATGATAATGTGAGGCGAGGCTAACACAATTAATTAATACCTGACAAATCAAACCACTTGAGGGGCCAGGTCCGGTAGTAATTGTTCCTGTGCATCCCAGACAGCTGCAACATTGCCCACAACCGTCGACATACAGTTGAGCCCAGTAACAAGAGCTTAAAGATACAAAAACCAAGCTTTCAAAGATAACAATACTTGAAATGGTTCAACAAAATCCCTGCTGGTAGACAGAAATGCTCTTATGTCTGTATTGCCATGTGTGCTACTTTGTTTGTATCATGTATGTTATACATTTTCAGGCTTTCCATTCCAATCAGACATATTTCAAACAGCACATGCGCTCCTTATCTGTGTGTTACTGTGTGTCTGTGCTCTGATTAAAGCCCAGTGGTGGGGATTACTTTGGCTTTGTTGAAGGGCTTTAAAGAAAGGGTCAAAGAGCACCCACTTAATATGGGCCCCAAAGGGCCTCATGGGTAATTGCCAGTGCCTAATAAACTTCTAGACACCCTCTTTTCTGGAGAGTGCGGAGGGCAGAACGGGAAAAAGATCAGGGGCCCCTGGAGCCACGATCTCAGAGTGGTGTGTGACAGGTCATCGCGGCGGTCCTTTAACCCCGCCGCATGCTAATTCAGACCTGGGGTGCAACGTACCGCCCTATTTCCCTCCTCGCTTTGCATGATGGGACAGGTTACTGAACAATTTAGTCAGGGATTTGTAATCTGCCGTGAATAGTGATCGGGAGAAATGTCAGCGGCAGGTACGGATAAGGTCAGGGATGTTGTTCGGCATATCATTCCAGGATTGGAAGGGCCAATGGGATTTGGAGTGCCCCAAGTGGTCTGTGGCTTAGTAATTGGCCATCAGGATATGGGTCTGACTGAAGCCATAAGTGGCAATACGAGACATATTTTTATTTTTTTGAAAGAAAGCAACATAGTGGTTCAGAAGCCCACATTGAATTGCATAGACGTGTATTTTATCAGGCGAAGGCAAGAACAAGCTCCCTCCGTCTAATGAGGGAATGAAAAATACCCCCTTAAACACTGACATGACCTTGATTACAAACAAAACAGGCTGATTTATCTCCGCGCATACACACCCACGTTCACCCTCCTTCAAAGAGGACGCAGCGCTATCTTGACAAGAAGAGAAATGAGTCTTTGCGGCGTACAGCCTGACATTGAGATACAATGCATTTTTCACACACCCAGGTATTTCAGATAGATAAATGTCAAAAGTCTAGCGAGGTTATATGGATTTATGGACACATGGATGTATGGATGGTGATGATAATGCTAATGTCCTGTGATGTCATTAGGGGTGGTGTGTCATTTATTAGATGAGGACAAAATGCCTGGAGGAGACATTTACTGACAAACAATAACATGTGCAGTCTCTGCTTTACATGAATTTTTCTTTAGCCACTGGCACCAATGAAAGATGACTCGGAGCATCCGGTTTTACACTTTTGCTCTCCACTGTAATAACACACCATATATTCTCCTCCGTTTGCTTATTTTGGTCCTCAAGGCCTTCCATAGCAAGTGAACATGGGAATATCGGCTTTGAAAAGTGTTTTGTATTCTATTAATTCTCAGGGCAAATATAAATAGAAGACACATTTTAGACAAGCCTTTGAATCAAATAAACAAGAAATAAATTAGGTTTTACAGAGAGTCACAGGGGCATTGGTCTTTTTGGTTGAATGGGGTTGGAAAGAATGCTGTTACTTACTATATGTAAGTAACATATTGCATATTGTAACTGTTACTTACAATATGTTACTTACAATGCAATATGTACTTACAGTACATATTGCATTTTTTTTTTTTACTATTTTACATACCTACATATTGTGTTAATGAAAATGCCAATATGTATTCAATCCCCATCCATCAATCAATCTGACAACTCAGTGATGCTCTTAAATGTTGTGACCAGTATCCAGGGCTTTGTCATTCCCCAAAGAGGACAGTCTCAAATGTTAATGGGATGAGGACGGCCCATTATTCCAAAACCACAATAGTACGAACAAATGTCCCAGTGGACTGAAAGCCCATTTGTCCTTCAGCCCGTTATCCTAAAGGTCCATTGCTCCGAAAATACATCAAACAAAAGCAGATGGCTAATAATTCATCAACTGTATGGAGATGGTTGTGGGCAATATTGAGGCAATATGGGATTTACAGAATGTTTGCATTAATATAATGAAGTAGCTTGATTTGTTAGGTATTTAATCAGTTGTGTTCGCCTTAACTCACATTATCAATTGGTCATTTTGTAAGTGACGTTGGTGTATGATAAGGAATAAATCAGTCCAACACGTTCTAGGTTTTCCTCATAACTTTAGTGAAGTCCCAACGCTGAACCAAACAAGTCTTTCTCTCCTTTCTTAAACATGAGTGTGATTGGTTAGGGTTAGGGCAAGAATATTGGGCGAGCCAACCAGGGGCAGGCTGTCAGAATAGTGGCCATTTGTTTTCAGGATAACAGGCTTTTGGACAAATAGGATTTCGGTCTAATGAGACATTTTTCGGACTATTGGTGTTTCTAAATAATGGGTTGTAAAAACAATGGCATGGCACTAATTGAATAGCATCATGATTGGACCATAACTTTGTCAATGTAGGCTGTAATGTGTGCTAATTTGTACTTATTGTCGTAGGAGTTGAGTAGAAGAGTTTATTTGATAAATGTAGAGTACTATCTCAGAAGTGCTTGACAAAGTAAAATATAGTATTTACATAATTATGTCATTTCCACCACTGGTCTTGAACGTATAAATATTGCTGCTGTTAACCCATTTCACGTCAACCTAAAAGATGAGAATAATGCTAAATGTGTTTGTTTGAATCAGAAGATTATTGAAGAATTGTATGGCGTTAAAGTGCTCAGTCAGTTTTATCGTATTCTGCATGTCAGCCTTTACAGACAGAGAAGTTATGTAATATTAATACACTTTAAAAATCAGTTTCTCCCCAAACATGACAAGATGGACAGAGAGGTGATATACTTAACAGCTTTTCTTTGAGCAGCAATGTTCAGAAGTCTGTGAAAAGCACAAACTACAACACCAGCTTCTGACATGACTTGCACTTTTTAAGGTGAGGTAACTGACTTCTCTCTTCATGCCTCAGCAGCCCTGCAGATCTTGGCACACTCAAGAACAATTTGATTCAGGACATGAGCGGAATGTCATTACGTTGATATAACTTATTAATACCTCAATGAGACGTATCAATATAATGTTAGGAAGTATGCAAATCAGCCAAGCTCTCCTCTGGCATCAATTAATCATCCACCAACTCCTTTATGTCCAAATCTCACATCTTCCCATAGCTTCAAAGAGAACTTTGTGGAATATTTGAGGGTTGTAATTTGATACCCTCCAAATGCTCTTTTGAAAGAGTTGCTGCTCGTTTTCAGACATTTCTTAATAAATGCAGAGGAGAGATTGTGATGTGAAAGGGAAGTTTGCAGGGAGATGCTTTTCAGATCCGTTTTGGCGTCTTTTTGGGGGATGGTCGGGCCAGGTAGGAATGCCATGAAAAACCATCTCATTGGTTTATCCCCTTTGTAAGTCTCGAGTGGCTAAGGCCAGCCTTACCCTGCAGGCGTGCATGGCTTTGGTCTCTTGGGGGTAGACTGATCTTGTCAGTACATCATTCTAGAGTACAAAACCATCCTCCACACCTGTAATCTGAGAGGTCACAAAGCCTTAGAGACTGAAATAAGACAGAAGAAGTCTAATGCCTTCAGGTAACACGCAAGATGTTGACTGCAGAGGGATGCATTTGGAAGTAAAGAAGACAAATCTCTAATATTTGATACATGATTCCAGGGAAGCAAAAGAAAGGGAGTTATTTTCTGGATTGCCATAGCTTCCTGTTATATCACTGATTTACCTTGTTTGAATGGTGACTTGTTTTCTTGACCGTGTTCCAAGTGTATTTATATATTTGCAAACGGTGTGTGTATCTGCGTGTGGGTCAGATTGAATAATGCATCTACTTTTGTGCAAGAAAAGTCTTTATTATTGATGTGCACACATGACACAGACTCAATGAAGACCACAGAGACGCAATGTTAAATTCACAGTCATACATTATGCTTTGTGTTAGTCCGCTCAGTCAAACAGTGAGAGACGATCCTAATTTGTGATTGGCACTTTTTTAAAGAAAAGTGTCACGGACAGGCTAAATATCAGGACAAGTTAGCAGATGAACATTGAATGCAAAGCCAGATAACAGACGGTATCATCAACAAGGAAGTTCACGCACTCTAACCATGCCTCTTCTCTTCTTCTGTTTTTTCTTTCCAGTTCTGAGAGATGACTTCCGTCAAACACCCAGTGATGTGGTGGTAGCAGCAGGTGAGCCGGCTGTCATGGAGTGTATCCCCCCCAGAGGCCATCCTGAGCCCACCATCTCTTGGAAGAGAAACAACATCCGGGTCAATGACCGGGATGAGAGGATCACTGTAAGTTAGTTTTTTTTCTGTAGAATTAATATCACGAAGTCAGTGGTTTGAACTGGAAACAGCTGAACCACCCATTCTTTTGTTAGTTCTTAATTTGTGCTTTTTTGAATTTGTATTTGTACAAATAATAAGTTGTCTGCAAGCTCTTAGCTTTGTGTATTATGGTGTTACTGTCACACAAGCTCATTTTCGTAATTCAAGTGATCTTCTGTGATGTTTTTTTTTTATCCAAACAAAATTCTGACCAATCAATAATTCAGAGTTTGGATTTTTTGATGAAGAGGCGCTGATTAAGAATCAATCCAGTTCAATCATTGTTGATAATCAAAAAGCAGCATCACTATTGAACTGCATTGATTGTTGTTTAGTTGAACCCTTCAAGAGTGCTCATCAGAAGACCACCTTCTAGAAACAAAGAAGATGGAATTCAATAAAGCCAGACATATAAAGCTGCTATTTGGGAGCATGCATGTGTGTGCACACTATGTGCCCGGAGCTAGACCCATTCAAACAGTGTAAATAACTAGCAGAGGAGCCATCTGTCATGAGACACTGAAAATGATGGAGTGGCCTCCCTCTTGACTAACATGCCTCAATATCCTGTTTCCAACCTCTTTCCATTTGTCTTCTTTCTTTCCCCCTTCTCCAACACCACCTCTCCTCCACTTCCTCGTGATTTGCTTCCTCCTCCTCCTCCTCCTCCGCTTACCTTTTCATCCATCTCCTTTTGTGCCTCTCTCCTTGGTCTTTGTACCCTCTTCTCTTTTTGCTCCTGAATATTCAGATGCGAGGAGGCAAATTGATGATTTCCAACACCAGGAAAAGCGATGCTGGCATGTATGTGTGCGTTGGAACCAACATGGTCGGAGAGAAAGACAGTGATCCTGCTGAGCTGGTGGTGTTTGGTGAGTCATTCTTACTGCATCTCATTAAATTACGGTCAACCTGCAAACACTGCATAGGAAGTGAAACCTATATCATCACATTATAACTTCTTTTGAAAACAGAAGAATCTTTATCTTCAAATAATAATGGTTAAAGTATACAAATTACAATGTTAATAGTCTTGGTCATGAGTTTTTGTCAAAAGTATTGGACTTCAATAAATGTCCTTTCCTTTAGTTTAGTCAAGGACATTTAATAATCCTGTAGAGGAAGTTACTCTGACGGGCGATTTGTACTGCTTCTTTCAGTAAGCCTAACAGAACACAAGTATCCTCTGGATGTCGTTTCTCCTGGGCTGTACTTTCTCTCCTCAGCTGATGTTGTTGGAGCAGAAGATTAATGTTTCCCTTCCAGCTGCTTTTTGCTTCTGCTTCGTTCCTCTCTTTGATTCTCTGCTTTGCTCGCAGCAGAGTGGCAGAATAAGTGCTCTCAAAGTGTGTATTGATCTAAAGAAACAGACAGAAGATTGATATTTTCTTTTCAGGCCCACCAAACCCCCCTCCTCTTTCTCACCATCACCCAGATGCTGCTCCTTTTCCAACATCAGTACCAGTGTGTACCACCTAATTTATCAGTGTATGGTTCCTGAAAATGGCCAAACGATTACCTTTATATTTAATATTACTACCATGCATGAAGTTTGCAAGATAATAGCCAGTGCACATCTGCACTAATTTCTCTCAGCTGTTACCATTTTTTAATTGTGATTATAATAAGAGCTGACAACGCACATCTGTCTCTCTGGACATATGTATGAAGATTGACTCTCCCACCTGTTTAACTAAATGTTGTTATGCACCTGCATCAGGCCTGTACCTCTATTAATGATAATGCCCCACCCTCCTTCTTGTTACCATGTTTAGTTGTTTTAGTTTTCACAATTTATTTCCTCTGCAGTCAATATTTCTTCTCATCTCCATCACAGTCACAGCTGCTGCAACAATCTAATTACCATAAAGTTTCGTACCTCGAGCATTTTTAATTCTCTCTCCGTCCTCTGTCTCGGTCTAATTTCAGAGAGGCCGGTGTTCACCAAACAGCCGGTGAACCAGGTGGTGTTGGCAGACGACACGGTGGACTTCTTCTGCGAGGTGCACGGAGACCCGACTCCGACTGTCCGCTGGCGGAGAGAGGAGGGAGAGTTGCCCCGGGGCAGGTACGGAGGAAAGGACACTCATGTGTTGTCTGATATCTGCTCCATGATTCACTACCACCTTGGTGTCATCAGAATACGGTAGTGGTCAGGGTGTTAACAACATGTTACATTTCCAGTCATTTCACTGATAATATACCAGCTTCCAATGCTCTGTGCTGAGAAAGGCAACATGAGAAAAATATTGAATTATTGATTGAAAAGATGATTTCCTGCGAGTGCATCTATTCCAACTGTTTTGAGTTAAAGCTTAGGAAGTTAAAATTAGAGAAACCAGTTGGATTTTGAAAAGTGTTTAACCTATAAACCCGGCCCAGTGCTGACAACTCTTTTCCAATGACAGTAGCTAGCAGCACTAGCTCCAAAAGTTGCTAAATCTAGCGAGGAGGTTGCCAAGTCGGCAGTCCGTCCCTTCAGGCCTCCCTCCAGAGAACCTCCCCCAAAATGATCAACAATGTTAGTACTTATAGCTGTCAAGCCAGCAACTTTTGGAAAACTGTGGTGACACGCAATGAGTGCACAGGCAGAATACGAGCAGGTAGATGGATAGGTAGGCAGCCAATCATTTCATTCAGGCCGAATAGCATGATTGGACGGGTTTACTGCAGTCCTGTGACAGCCACAGATACCAGAGCATTTCATTCATTGATTGCTGTAAAGATGTAAAGAGAATTTCAACAAATATACTCACCCTGGCTTTAAGACAACAAAATTACAAAATACACAAGGTTTTGAAAAGAAGATGTTTTGGAGGCGTAATGGACAGCAAATTTGAACAAATTCCCGCTCCCATGGAGCCACAATACATGTCATTCCAAAGATACCAGGTATTCTAGGAATCCAGATGTACAGCATCTTGTGACGGTCATCCAAAAACAATGCAACTTATTTGTTAAACAGCTGTGGAACTGGCCCTTTTTAAGACAGTGATAGTAATAGTAATGCCGGTGATGGTACATGATAGCAGTCATGAGAGTATTGCATGGTAACACAGTGACTGAGGAACATTTCCCCCCGTTTCCCTCAGGGGAAACGGGGGGAAATGTTCCCTAGTTGTTAGCAGGATCCAAATCTCCACAGGGAGCTTAAAGCTATAAGACAATAATCTGAGCTTTACCAAACCCAGTCTCATACTGCCGACTGCATTACAGCAGATAGTCAGAAAAGCAGCATCATTCTTAGCCTGATAGCTCTGCATTGTGTTACATTTCAAAGGTTTAATTAACCCAGATGACTTTGCAATTTGCATAACAAGAAAATGAAAATCACCAACGAGTGTAGTTTTCATAAAAGTCTTTGTGTGTGTGTGTGTGTGTGTGTGTGTGTGTGTGTGTGTGTGTGTG